AAAATTCCATTCCTAATCAGATAGTATTTAAAAAGTAATGCATCTATTATTTAAAGATTGTATTTATCAAATACCTATAAAAATATCTTTCAGTCAAAATAGACAGTGATGAAGACTTTATTTCAGGGAGCTACAGAAAAATTCTTAACTTTAAGTAGACAGTCTCTTAAACCAGATCCTACTTCATCTTCAGAATTACATCAGATTTGAGATGTAAGCCAAAAAACTGTTGGACGCTTTGGAATTGCAAACCAAAAAAGTCTTCTCTTAACAATTCAGTGGTCTTTGGTCTACAGCAAGGTCTATACAGGGGAATTTGCGTTTGCTGTGTTTGTCCAGATACACACCCCCTCTGCATGCTGACTCGGGTGAACTTCCCTTATCTGGGCATCATTCTGATGGGAAGGAAACCTGGACATATAGACCTGGGGAGAAGAGGTGCTGCAAATGTTCTGTTCAGACTTCCCCCAGTCTGAACTGTGGTGAATGGGGTGTGCCATGAAGCACACGTGCTTCACAGTCGAGGCTTATCCCACACTTACAGAGTCTTCTGAAAAGCACTAGGTATAACTGGCTATGGGCGGAAGAGGTGCAAATGAAAGCACTGTTGTCTTACCTGGCTTGTATTTATCAACTAATGAAAAGTAGAGAACTATAAATTCATTTTTAAATAAATGTAGAAAAAGATCTATTTTATGTTATTGGTTTTACCTGTTTATGGCTGTTCTTCACATTTTCTCTTGTCACAATGCAATTTGGCTAACCTCAAGAGAGTCTAAAACAGTCTTTCCATATGATGTTATGCTTCTAGGAAAACTCCAAAGACCTAGTAATTGCATCCCATCACCTACACAGCAGACTAACAGCAACGCAGTATATTCTCCTTGTGGAGGAAAAAAAGAAAAAAGAGAAAAAAAAAAACCACATTTTCCTCTTCATGCAGAAGGAAAAAGAGGGTGGGTTATTTTTCATGGAAAGAAAGAAATGCAACTGAGGAAATATGACAGTGATCTGCTGCATTGGAGACCCAGCTTTAAGTTCTTGTCTTGAGGGAACTCTTACCTATTATATTATCAAGCATCCATTGGTATAGGGACTGATCATGGCAAATGCAGATTAAAGTCACTCCTTGAAATCATACAGCAGGAGATCGGAAGCCAATTTTTCCCACACTCAGATGGTAGACCTAACTGCTGGACAATTGACTATTATCAAGCATGTTAGGACCTTTCTGGACCTGGAAAACATTTCTGACAACAATTTGTTGAGAATATTTTGATAAAAAAAGATTTTAGTTTTCCCCAAGTACTTCTGGTGTGCACTTACTAGGTGAATTTCTTGCATCTAGATTACGTGTTCATGTCAAAATGCTTCTCAACACTAGAGATAAATACCTAGTAGTAAGAAAGAAAATTATTTGTGCAGTTGTAGAGTGATAAAGGACCTAGTTCATCTGTAATAATAACGAAGTGTGCCAATGTAGGAGCAGGCTATGAGCTCCCTCTTTCTTTCAACAGCCTTGCAGCTTTTAGTGTTAATTATTTTATCAGAGGAAAAGTAGTCAGGTCTTTTCAGTATCATCTCCCAGGATCTTCAAGGGATAAGTTAAAGGGACTCATGGTATGTGAAGTTCCGTTATACAGAGGTATTTTTTTGCATGTGCTGAGGGCTTAGGAAAAGATATTGATGGGAAAAATATGCAAGAGAAATGCGTTTGCTCAGCCCAGGGGTTTCATAATACAGTAAGAAGGAAGCTGTGTCAGATCCAGATTACAATATTCCTTTTTTCTCCTACTATTAATGTGGTTCATTGGTGGATGAAACAATGTTCTATATTTTCTATATGTTGCCAAGAGCTTTCATTCTTCTGATAAAATATTGGACATCCTGTTTGGATCATTTACCAGTATCCTTTCAGCTCTGATATGGCTTCAGCAATCAAATAGCTTGGGGGAGAGAAGTGATGTCATCATCACTGACATCAATGACATATATGTGTCACATTCCCAAAGTTGCCCTTTGCAAGGAAAAAATTACTGGTTCAACAACTGGTTATTTCATCTGAACATTTAAATTCTGTCACAAATACATTTTCATTCTCTAAATTGCACTCTTTTAAATTGTGGTTCCGCTATTGTTTTTCATATATAATAAAAAAATTTGAGTGCCTAAATAGGAATGTTCCACTTTTAATATTGTTAGACCATCAGCATAGGAAGTGAAACTTCAATACTGTTCATAGTATTAATCAACACTACTGTAGATAGCACTAATGCTTTAAATTAATCATAACATTATTGCATGATAACTCCAGTAATGAGTTGAGAAACACCAGTCATACTTTTTTAATCTCACATTTTTCTCTATGAGGAAAAGTAAAAAAAAATGCACTGCTGGAAAAAAAATTGAGTTGTATTTTTGAAAAGCTATCAACAGATTAAACAGAACCTTTTTTCTTTGTAGTGGTGATAGGGATGCCTAAAATCTAGTTCTCTTTGTTTCTTCTCTTTCTTTGGAGGACTCAGGCTGTTCAAATTAAAAAAAAAAAAAAAAAGAAAAAAGAAAGAAAAAAAAGAAAAAAGAAACAAAAAAAGAAAAAAAGAGATAAAACAGAGAAAGAAATTAGATGGATCACTTTGAAGATCAAAATTTTCCTTCCCCAAAGGTTCAAAAAGGGAGAAGAAAACTGCAGCTTTCTCCAGCATGGCTCCTGCATGATGGCCGTATCTCAGGGGGACTGTGGGGTGCAGAGACCTTGGTGCTGTGCTCACCTGAGTTCTTTAGTTAATGAAGGCTCCTAAATGCAAAGATATTTGGGTACCCAATTTCTACTGAAACTGATGGATGTTTGGTACTTAAATTATTGAGAATCTTGGTTCTGAACAGACTGGCTGTAGTTCTACAGCAAGTGGCTGTAGTTCCTCTAGAAAGATTTCTCAATATCTTCTGGGTAGTTGTTTCTTACCCTTGATTGTGTTCACCCTCTCCCAACTGCTCTGGTGAAGTGAATATGAAACAGAAACATGTAGTTTTTCTTAACAATTACCTTGTTTTGTTCATTACCCTACTGGTTTCTTGGGAGTTTTGAGAAGCTTAGCAATTTCTCCATTCCAAACCCATGACGGATTAAAATTTGTTGTTTTTCCTAACTCACATTCAGACTCATCATCTCTCTACAACAGGCTGCTTTGGCAATCTTGGCCCTTATAGGTACTGGAATAACTCTTCTACTTAATTTTATAACTTCATTTTATGTTTACCAAGAGGATGTAATCTAGACTGAAGCTGAACTGGGGATGCAGTACTCTAGTGTAGTGCTGAGCCCTCTTCAACTGAGTCCTCCTTTTCTACAGGACTGTCTGTTGATCTGAGAATTTAGCTGGGTAGCAGTGATGAGACAGCAAAGATGAGAGAGAGTACTTATCTTTTCATTTTCTGTCTTGGGATAAGATTATATTAATTTCTGTATGTAAAAAATAATCATTCTTTTACTTTTTTTTTCCTTTTGAAGTACAACAACTCTAAGGCCAACAGGTTTGTCTAGAGCTAGAGGGGAGGGAAGAAATCTGTTTGGAAAGAAAGTACTCTTCATTTTTTCTTACTGTACTTTCTGATAGAAGACATGCTGTTCCATAAATGTGCCTCTGCACAGGATCATTTGTGGATGGTATTAAAATAATATTAACAGTAAATTGTCATTAACCTTTCAGTTACACATACATAGATGTATGCTGCCAGTAGCTGGACAAGGAAAGAAAAAAAATTGTACTCAGCAAAATTAAACTTAGAAATAATTACTTAAGTATATGCTTATTTTCTTTTTTTTAAAGATTCAGCCATTTTCCTCCTAGCTCCATGTATGTCTTCTGTGACTGATAGCCCTCATACCCACCTCACTGGGATCAGTCTGTTCCCACAGAATCCCACATGCATGAAGAAGTACCTTATTGGAATGGTCTTTTTTTCTCTTACTATCATTTTGGTTTTTGTTTTTTGTTTTTTCCAAATAACTGGCGAAAAGAAACTTCAGAATAACACAATGTGTTAAACAAAAAAACCACAAACCCCATGGGTCCCTCCCCTGTAGTCCAGCTTCACGCATTAGCAGGCTTCCAGAGTAATTTTTGGTCTCAGCACGGAGTCTATTTGAAAATCACTTCAAAGCAAAAATGGGTGATGGCAGTGAGAGTGTGCCTTGCAGACTCTGGACAAAGATGAAAGGGAACTGAGCACTGGAGTTTGGCTTTTGAGGGTGTTTTGTGACTTTCCTGATAAAGCAGAGGGATCAGGAAACTGATTCCCACTGTTCCCAAACCTGCTCCAAGTACAGGCGTAGGAAAGCAGGAGGTATATCTAAGCACAAGAAGCTTGTGTTTTGTTTTGGAGAGACTGCATACCTGCTTAGTTTGATATCACATATGTCTAACACGTATTTTGCTTTATACATTTCTGATTTCGGGCTAAAATCCAAAAACATCGAGCACTGTTTTTGTTGCAATGTGGAATTGCCACCCTCTTTAAACAGGAGGCACTTTTTAAAGGAAATGTCTACTGGAGGAAAAGAAAGGGCCTCCTGCATGCTTGGACCCCTGCCTTGTCCACCTGCTTACAGCTGGTGGCTTTCCTCCAATGGTGCGCAACAGGCAGCCCCCCGACCCCTCTGTGGCACACGGCGTGCATTCACTGCGTTACGTTTGCTGTAAAGGAGGGGGCCATTGTTGAAGAAGACAGTTTAAACTGGTAGTTTCTGATCTCTAAAAGCAGAGACAATTCACCTAGCTTGAATATTCTCTCTCCCTCTCTGCAACCCCCCCTCTAATTCAGAATCAGAAGTTGGTAAGCTGAGGAACCTTACTTTGCCTGTAATTTCTTCTTTTTCCATCTTTCCATGGTGAAACAGAAAGTGCCAACTTTGGAAACACAGTATTGCAAAAGGTATATGTTTGCTTGGTTTTTAAAATTTTGAACTCAGTATCACACCAAAATCTTTTGAATTGCAGGCATTAGAAGAGCCAGCCAAGAGTGCTAGTATGACTGAAGGCACTGTTTTGGACACCCATTCAGAGGTAGTGCTGTTATATTCTTTCAAATCTCTACTTGAAAACAAAAAGCAAAGCTTAACTGAGTGATCCATCCTCCTTTTTCAGATGTGCTCCCCTGCCCAGCTCAGACAACAAACAGAAGAGCTGTGTGCTGTCATTGATCAAGTCCTGCAGGACCCGTTGACTATGGTAACCCATCAGTATGTGGGATTGACATTTTCTCTTCCTTTCCTTCTATCTCTTGTCATAACAAGTCTGTTCTCTGTTGAAAATAATTTTCCAGCGCCGATGTGAGTCTTCTCCAAGTTTTCTGCAGATGAGCACGGAGTCAGATGTTGGCAAGGTAGGTGAATAAGCCCACCCACACACCAAGTGGTCTTTCCAGGTAGATATCAAAGCAAGCAAAATTACAATAGAGCCTATGGCAACAGTAAAGCCTATGACAACAGAAAGCTGCAGCTGAGAGATGCAACATCAGCAGAAGTGTCTGGTGCTTTAAAAGACATGGAAGGACAGAACTGTAGCCCTGGAGTCAGTGCAGTCTTTGTTGCAGGATGCTTTCTTGAAGTCAGAAGGAGTTATATTATGAAAGAGAAACTGTTTATTAAGGCTTCAGAGGCTAGGATCCACAAGGAAGAAATCCTTCATACCTTGTCTTCCATATTGCAGGGTCTCTGGCCATCTCCCAGATTTTGTCCCATCTATGTGTCCTTACTACAGAGGAGCCAATATTTCTAGCCTCTATAATTGGAAACATCTTTCACAACATTTTTTTTTTCATATTCATTATTGGTTTTCAAATAATGGAATAATTAAATGAATAAGTAGACTTGTTCTTAAGTGCTGACTTCCTTTTAACTCTGGCACCTCACAGGAGGAGGATGTCTGCTACATCCATTTACCCTGGATAACTCAGAAAGAGGTAGTGAGAGGCAGGGATAACTTTCCATACTGATGTTAAAATTATGGTTTCCCTAAGTTATATTGCTGTGCCTTCTGGGTTCAGGAGGATGACTAACCAAGGGAAGAGGATCCTGTACTCAGTTTGCCCCAGGTAAATTTGAGTTGGTTGTGGTAACTATAAGACACTGAAGATGGCAGAAATCCAACTGGAAACGGGAGGAAAGGGATTTTTGGCAGAGGAACACATCAAAAAGTTAATGCATTCAAAATATCCTGCACAATGTTCAGTCCACCATGCAAACATAGGGCACAGAACCGGTATTCCTGAGTGGCTATATTCAATATACACTTCAAATTTAATTTTCATTTCTGAAATTACTTCTGTCAAACAGCACGCAGTGGTTAATCAGGCTTCAGGCAACTGAAAGATGGAATGTGATAGTAGCTGAAGAGGCAGGCAGAGACTGTTACTGAGGGATTATTTTCCAATGCCTGTGCTAAATCCAAAGTGGTTAAAATGCTGCTACGAAGTTGAGCTATAGCATCCATAACCTGCTTCCTTGGGCAACGGAGAATTGAGCCTTGAATGAATGGAAGGCATCTGTTAACAATCATGAAACCAAATAAAGGGGGCAAAAGGTGAGTTTAACAGGATGCAGCATAGGGTCCAAGCCAAAGGTTGTGAGGACCTCAGAATGAGAGAGCAAAGTGCTTAAAATGGGGGTAAAAAAGAGTCATAGACAGGAAGGAAAAAAGAGTGTATGTTGTAAGTAAATGCCTTAGAAACAGCATGGATTAGTCAGATGAAAGCAAATTCTTGCAAATGAGGACATGGAAAGGTGCCATTTCAGGTTATTTTGTGAACAAATGTAACTTAAATTTCATGGGGCAATCACACCTATGGCTATCTACTAATAAGCATTTTGTTATGACAGTTCTCAGAGGTAATTTAAAGGCCATCCTCAATAGAGTGGGATCAATGTTTTTGAGCAGTAAAAATGAAATAGTATTTTCTATAATAAACATATCAAGCAAAACTTTAATATACCTTATTCTTATGTATCGCATGAATCTTTCTAGAAAATTGAAGTTTTCTTGAATTCAAGCCATTAATAACTTGCCACAATGATGAAAATCTCTTTGAGTTACTCCTCAGAGTAACTCTGCTCTTAATATATCTACTTATTTTGTACCAGGTCTCAACAACACTGCAGAGAGCAGCTGGGCGTGAAACCAGATATGTAAGTACTTTCCTAAATACTCTACATTTTGCATGCAAAAATGTCTAATTTGTCTGCTCTTGCTACAATACTGGGTGACTCTGCACAGGCATCTACGCATGACATGAGGTGTTGACTACTACAGAGAAGCGAGTATGTTAGAGCAATTGAGACTTGACATGTCTTTCAACTGCTGTAAATCCATCATGGCTGGAATCTCTTCAGTGTGGTGTCTATTCATAATTTTACCTGGGTGAATATGATGTTAAAATTAATTTCTTCACATACTTTGTTGTTGTTTGCTTCAGGCATGGGGCAAGAGCTCAACTGTTTGGCAAACAGACTGTTACAGGTGCTAACGGGTGCATTTGTTTGAACTCAGCCTGCACTGTAGGGGACTTGCTTTGGTAGAAGTCCTTTAGTTCTTGCCTATCCATCAGAATCTGGGGTTGACTCAAACTTTTCTTTCCAAGGTACAGAGCTGGCTGAAAACCCACAGTTTATCCTTAGATGAATAGAAGCTGTTTTGTTACATATACACACATTCCAACATATAAAGATAATCTCTATATTGAGTCATGTGTTCAATTATTGAAACATTAAACCCAATTAACATTTTAATTCTCACTAGCACACATAGTTACTGCAGGTTCCATATTTTACTTACAGCTCATCTAGTCATGTGGTGAGAAATCTATGCTTACTATTCATCATTCAGCTTTTCTATTGAACCTCAAATCAAGGCAGTGCTGGCAAAGCAATAGAGGCCTTCCAGTTTTATGCCAGTACAATGCCTGACTGATCAATTCAATTTTGCTTCTTGAATGTGGCGGTATGCATATTTTCTTGCATACTGTGATTTTTACTTGACAGATTGTACTGGCTCATACTAATTAGAAAGGATATTGGAAGACAGCTTTTTAATGAAATAAAAGAGTGTGTTTCAGAGGTAGTCTGTGAGAACAGAATATATTTAATACCACTCCAGTGCAGATCTTCAGCTCCCAAAAGTGTGGCTGACATATACCATAAATTCAGGTATCCAACTTATATGCCTAGGCATACAGTTAGGTTTTCTTTGCTAGGACAGAAAATCACCCTTATAAAGTCTTCCTTTCCCATCTCCCCCGGAACTTTCTAGGTAAATGAAACAAATAAATATTTAAAAATACATTTGGGAATAATGCAGAGGATTATTGGTAGGCTAACCTTTCCTATAAATTGTACAAGCATGTTGAATTTTCTGTGTGTCAGAAAACAGGCCGTGGTCTCCAGGCTGTGCTGTGGTGGTTGAACTTGGTGGGTCCAGGGTCTCTTGGACTCTGCCATCACTGCAGAGATGCATTCTGCAGCAGAGGCTCCTGAGGGATGAGCCAGGTGTCCCTAACAGCCCCCATATATCACAGCTCTTTACCTCTCTCTTGCTCTGCTTCCTTGGTAAGACGTACAAAGGCTGTCTCTGTCCCAGCTAATAAACCAGGTGGTGGCTTGTCCTCTGTCCCTTAGGGTAAGGGCACACTGAGGTGGTTTTCCACAGAGTTGTATTCTCCTCTTCGCCTTCCTTTTCCCTCCCCTCAAGGCCTACTCCCCTCCCCAGCCCAGCACAAGACCCAGGGTGGCCTCATCCCTTCAGCTCACCGAAAGCAGCATGGTCCATGCTACCAGGCAGACCATGATGGAGAATTCTCTGGAAGAGTGGTAGTTGGTGTGGACCAAAACATGCAAGGGAGTGTGCTAACCATTAACTGGAAAGGACCTGTTCCTGAGCCTCTGTATGTGCTGACTTTTGTTCACTAGAGGAGATATAGTCCGGGGCCAACATTTCTTCACAGTTGGTACAAGATGTCTGTTGTGAAACAAGGTGCCTACTTTGAGCCAATCTAACAGTGTCTCCAGTAGAAATCAGGAATGAGTGTTATATGAACACTTGTAATATAAAATTGTGAGCTCCCCCAGGAGGTCTGTGGTGTCTCATGTGAGCTGTCTTGGAGATTTTCAACCATCCTTTTTTGCAAATCTTTTTTTCTTTTAGAAGTAGGATTTTAGTTTATGCAACTGAATTAATTTTACTAGAAAGAATTAAAATGGTAATTTAGCAATATAATTTTCTTAATCTTTTTGTATTCATGATGTCTGATATTGAGACACTTGTCAAAATGTTGCTTAGGAGGTGTTTTTGGTTAAAAAGAAGCTTTAATTTATTTATGAGTCAGGGATAGGAAAATCTGTCATCATGCTGAAGTATTATTTATAAACACACACACATATAAATATATATGTATGTACACATGATAATATTACTAATTACTTCAATAGGTTATATGAAGTAGTAGACTATACAAATATGTTCAAAGAGCCTGCCATTTAACCATTAAAATGGCGTAGAATTACCTGGGCCTCAATTATTTTTTGTCTTCTCATGCACTTCAAAACCTTTTAAGGATGTAAATGATTGTACAAATAGGTGTACAAAAGGGTGTGTATAAAAAATATGGCAAAATGTCTGACTTCAGTGAAATTACAGCAGTTTGTACCAGCTGACAACTAAGTACTACAGTTGCCATTTAACAGCTTTTTAAACTGTATGGTCTTTGATATGATCCCATTCACCATTTTGTAATAGTGCATCTCTGTTGGCTTTAGGGATGATACTGCTGATTTGTAATAGTAATATAATAATATAATAATTCTCTCAGTAAATTACTTTTAAGGCTATTGAGTGCCCTTATACTTAGTTATTGTGTTTCCATATAAATACTGGCACCAATGAAAGCTTTCTTAACTTTAATTTCAAGTTCTAGCAAATTTATAATTTTGTCATTTAGCCCACTTACAACTATTTTAAAAATAATTTCTCATGATTAATTGGAATAATTACTTTGCATATTATTGACATTTTTGCTCTTCTTGACAGTTCTATCGTAAAAAAAAAATCTTTTTTAAGTGTTATAGACATGACACACAAGTGAAAAAATGAGAGAACATGAAGCAGCTAAAAATGCTCACAGACATGGAGAAATAAGTAGCAGTTTTCTTTATCTATGGTCTGCTTTGCTTGTATACATTTCAGGTAACCCCTGTGAAATGAGATTTACTCTTAATTTGCACCACTGAAGTGAGAGAATTTAATTCCAGCCCACTTGTATCTGTAGTATTCTGAAGTGCTTTGATGTCTTTAAGCTCACAGTGAGACTGCTCGTCACAGTTGGTTAACGGTATGAAAGAGAGTCCCTAGTATGTAAGTAACCACTAGTAAAAGCTCTGGTTTACTCTGTCAAGGGCAGAAGATGTACTTCTTGTATATTTAGTGCTAAATCACAGCTGTCCCCGTGTGGGTGAGAAAGGTAGAAAGGTTTCCTCCACCAGTGGCTGTGTTTAGAAATGTGAGTGCTCTCAGTGAGGAGCACAGTCCTCCATCATGACTCATGGTGATGCTGTTCTTGTCACCAATGCAGGAGTAGAGCCAACAGTTCCAGGGAGTGATTAAACATCTCTATTTAGCACTTGGGAGATCACATCTGGAGTTCTGTGGCCAGATCTCTGCAAAGTCTTTGTCACAGGGGAACAAAGGAAGAGCATGTTCTTTCCTCTCCAAATGTGCTGGAATTGCTTTTCTGCTTGAAATAGTGAGAGGAACATCTAGTTGAGTTGATAAAAATCCAACTGTAGTGGTCCTTCTGCGGAGAGTGCAGGCTGTAATGGCACTGACTTGTCTTCTACTACAGCTATAACATCTAACCATTGTATCTAGTACTTTTTTTACCACCATACTGAAGAATATTCACATTTTAGAGTCTCAAGGCCTCCAAATCACACCTACATCAAGGAAGGGCATGTCATCTCTACAGAAACACTATGTTATCTAGTGGAATTACTACAGAGCTTGATGGAGTTGATTAGAGGGTTCAATGCACCAGAAATTCTGAATCTCACCACTGCGCAGGCAAATAAGCATGTGCCACATGGCTATTTAACATACACACACAAATATTTTGCATTCATCCCATTTAGCCTTGATCTGGAAAATAGGGCTTCTGCTGTTCAATGTATACTCAGAAAAAAAAAAAAAAAGTAATGCTTGATTAGGATTATTCTTGTTTTCATAATGCGAAGTCAGAAGGATGAGAGGTTGAACCGAGCTCCCAATACAATTGATAGTGTTAATAAGATTGATGCTGCAAATTAACAGACTCAGAAATGTCTAGCAGGCTCAGAAATGTCATGATTTACATTTTGAGATTAGATTGAGATGAAAAAGTGAAATTTTGTTGCACTTGGAAAAAAGTATCCCTAAAATTTTAACAACAGGTATTCATATTTGATTATACCTAGAAATAAACTGGAAATGACAATATTTTATCTTCTCGTACCAGTTGCATGTCACCGCATCAGTGGTAAAAGCTTCTGTACCTAAGCATACTGCTGTCCATGGATTTTTCTTCGGTCATCGCTATAATCACTATGATGTTGTATGTAATACTGTATATATTTACCTTTTTTGCAGGCCAACCTTTACAAATCAGCACCTATGGTGACAGAGAATCAGCTGGTATGTATTGCACAGCTGTGATACGCTGTTTCTCAAAATTTGCACAAGCGCAAAATCTAAAGTAATTATTATTTACTTTCTTAGTCCTTTGAAAGAAGCTGCAGTCAATGTCCTCCTGCAAAGCTGAATTGCTTCTACAGAGCTGCATTGCTTTCTTCTGTACTGAAAACACACCTGTTTTAAGTAACTGTAAATCCTGACACTACTTGTAAACCCATGGACCACATGACAAACTAGAATCTTTTTCTGCTGAATCTTGAGGTGTATGACAACTATAGAGTCTACTGCTGGTTCTTGGACTCTTAATATTCCAATTCTACAATTTTGTTTATATGCAACAACGTTCTGGCATCTATTTTCTTCTTACACGCTGGTTTAAATTGAAGCTGACTTAACTAATGAAAAGCAAGGGGAAAATCAAATAAAGAAAGGGAGATTATGCATCAGATGTTCATTTTAGCTCTGATCACAATTTAGTCCTGTTGGAGCCAAACTTCCTGAAGAAGAGTCAGAAGAGAGGTCATGGAGCCTGTCCAAGTGACAGTGACTGCTAATGAATGCTTAGGGAAAAAATGAGATGTGGATGAGAAGTTTTCCCCATTGTATTTCAGCTAATGAATCAATTTCTTCTGTATAGTAATCTTTGACCACTTCTTCTTTAGTGACTTTTTGCAGTTACTTTTTGAATCTTGTTATACTTTGGTCTCTACAACGTTTGTAGCAAAAGGGTTTACTTTTTAATTATGCATCGTGTGAAATAGTACTTTATTTCTTTGTTTTAAACCTACTACTTGACCTCAGTTCTTGTACTGAAACAGCAAATAATTATTCTTTCTTCACTTTCTAAATAATACAAATTATTTTCTAGGTATTAACCATAATACCCTATCAGTCACCTCTTTTTCATACAGAAAAGTCAAAATTGCTTAGTCACTCTTTGAAAAGTATGCATACTGTCCCATATCTTTGATGATCCTTGTTGCCCTTTTCTATATATTTTTCAGGTTTTTGTTTTTGAGACTGGGAGACTAAAACCATGAACTGCTCTTGTCTAGCTCTGAACACAGCGCTTCCTGTTTACATGATGATGTGATAAGTTTCTTTACTGTTATTTCTATTCCTTTCTTAACAATTCCTGGTAATTTATTTAGTTCATCTTATTTGCATTGAGCACTAAGCCAATGTTTGCACAGAACTGTATACAATAAACCCAAGATATATTTTCTGAGTAGTAAGAGCTACTTTCTGAGCTAACTAGTTCATCACTGCATGTGTAAATTTAGGATGTAGTTTCGTTTTCCCCTGTGAAATGTATCAATGTTGAATTCAGTTAAGTTTCACCTGCCTTTTTGTCATTCATTCACTCAGTATCATAAAATCTCTCTGCAACTCTTTGCACTGATATTTTTTTACTCCCCTGAATGATTCAGTATTACCAGCAAACTTTGTCACCTTACTAGCCACTCTTTTCTAGTCGATGTACATCCATAATTCAAAGGCCAGATTCCAGAGCACATCTCTGAGGAACTCTATTTGTGACTTCTCTACACTGTGAAATTTAAACATTTATTCCAGCCTTTTGCTTCCAATCTTCTAACTGGTCCATAGGAAATATTCTCTTTTACTCTGTAGCAGTTTCATTTCCTTAGCAGACCCTGCTGAAAGACCTTCACTAAAGCCTTTGGAAATCCACATGCAGCATGGCTGCACATCCGCTGGACTTTGTACTCTGTGATGCAGCCTCATTTTATTATCCCTGGTCATACATTTAGGGACCCAGTGGGAAAAAAAAACAAACACTGAGCCTCACATAAGATGGTCTGTTGATTCTCACTTGGTTTCATCTAATCTGTGTTCCTAGGTGCCAAAATGTTCTCATATTGGTAGTTTAAACATAACCTACATCTGCTGTATTGGCCAGCATTCTCGCATCACTGACTCTTTAAAATAACTGTAAAAGATTTATCAGGCATGAGTGCCCTTTCAAAAGTCATTCCCTATTGTTTGTCCATATGTATACTAATTCTGTTCTTTAGTATAGTTTGCTCCTATTACTTTGCACAGCTTGAAATGTCACACAGAATGATCTGTGATTCCTGGTCCTCTTCAGGATCCTGCAGTAAAACCTGCCCCATAGTTGCCACTTCTCATTCTTCTGGTGCTGATTATGTCTGAAATTAAATACCACAATTCATGGTGTGGCAATTTCACACTGGAGTTGCTTCACAACTTTACTTATTCCTTGCACTTTATTTGCTCATTTTATTGATTTGTTCTCAAATATCTCCTATTGACACTTTACTCAAGACAGTTCCTCCAAATTGTTTCTTTGCCAGTGTGAGAACCTCCCAAAGTCTTCCTGTGAGGAAAGTTGAAGTGAGGAATTAATATTCAGCCTTGGTCTCATCTTTGTGCATCTTTTTTATGTCTTGATTATATCTACTGTCCCCATAGACTTTTAGTTGTTAGGAAATTTAGCAAGTTTTTCTTCTCAAAGTCTTTCTTGGCCTAATATATGACATTTTTATGTTATGGGCTAGATTTTCTTTTTTTTCCCCTCTCTAGATTGTATTTAAACTCAGCTTTCTGTCTTTGGAGCCTTTTCCTCCTTATTCCTTTTTTCACTTTTTGCACTGCTCTTTGAACATCCCACAATTTACTGTTCTCTTAAACTCTTATAAGCTGATGCACACCTTCTCTGAAACATTACTGTCTTAAGCAGTATTCTGGTCACCTATAACCATTTCATCCTTTTGGCAGCTCCTTTGATTTTTTTTTCTTTTTTTTCCCAATAGCTATTTTAATTACTTAACCATATATTTTATTTCACCTGTTTAAAATTGCAGTTACTACAGCGGAATTCTTGTGCATGTTTTTTGTTCAGAGAGCAATGCTGTCTCTGAGCACATTGTGATCTCTATTCATGAATGACGATTCTTCAGTAGTAGCATTTTTACTTAGAAATTTTGCAGTATTTATGATTCAGCCAATTACTTCTCCTCTTGTGGAGTTGCTAGCTCTACCAGGGACCGATTATTTAGGGTGACCAGAAATGTTGTATCTATATCTCTCAGCTATGTGACTTTTATCCAATGGCCAGGTGAAGCATTGGGCATGCCACTGTGACTCTCATCAACAATTTTTGTACTCTTTTAAAAGGTGACTGTGAATGACTCAACAAAGTACAAAGCCATACCCAGCACACCAAAACAACACACAATATTGTCATTGTCATTAATAGTAACTTTTTTCTTTATATATCATGCAAATAAAGCAAAATTCACAAGGGGCCAGTCTTGCATACCTTGGTACTATTGTTCTAGGTCTTTTTGGTTCAGGTATTTTAATGCTACATCAGCCATCCATGGTTTTTGAGTGTGCAATGAAAGGATTTATAGAAGTATATTTATATACAAAAATAGTAGAAAAGGAGTCATATATATTTACACCAAATACAGAATGGCATTTCTGTATTTTGTGAGCAGGTTTAAATGGTAGTGACAGAAAGAACACAGTGCAGCTTCTTGCATGAAAAGAATTGTGGATAGGAGTTGTAGGGACTCGAGGCTGGACAGAGTATGAGTTCAAGCACTTGAAAGGAAGAAAAACATTAGAGAAAAATAGATAACAATCCCCATGGTCTGGTCCAGGAGATAAAGTTGGGGTGTTTCAGTTAATGTCTATACATATTTCTATGGCTTATTTTGTTCTGGGGTATTTTAGGTGTGACTTGGCAGCTTGAAGTACTTTTTCTCAAATTAATTTGAAGCACATGTATTACTGAGGTTCCGGTATTTCCTACATTTAAAGCTGTTGAGATCAAAGCTTAAAATTCAGCAACTTTTAAGATCCACTTCAGGTCAGAATAACATCAAATATAGCATACTTGTCAGGTCCAGCATAAAATCAGGGGTCATGGGTGCATCTATCCACCTAAAATCATTTCATGACCTTTGAGCACCGATGAAAGACTTCTGGAAGGCAGTGTTTGCCATGGGTCTACATCTATACTTTGTCAAGCACCAAAATGCAGGCACTGCTGAAGTGAAATGTGTCAGGTATAACGAGGAGTGGGCCATACAGAGCCATCACACAGCAAAGCAGGAAATGAAAGAGATTCCTGATATACCAAAAGAAAATGTGTGTGAAGGGAATGCACATGTGCTAAAAGAGTTTCCTAAAGAAAGGGAAGGAAGCAGAGACGGAAGCAGAGAGCAGCCTCAGGACTGAGGGTTTGCCCTTAGCCCTCTCCTTGCCACCAGCCTGGGCAGTCAGCAGTGCCTGGGCAAACCTGCTCCCTTTTCTGGTCCCCTTTCCCCAGAACAGCAGCAGATGTGAGTGCCTCCTTCACACTACTCTCACTGTGGGTCTGTTGCTTTTCTCCAGCTGTTAAGAAAAAGACTCATCCCTGTACTGATTCTAGCTTTGGTTTAGTTTAGCATAGAGTCAGTGGAAAGCATGATACAATATAGCATCAGACATCTTGTTGAAAATTCAGCTGTTTCTTGAAATGCAAATATTTCAGTATGAACAAAAATAAACACAACCTGAATTTCAAAGAGGTGACTGTCCTTGTTCTCTGTGCTCTGGTGCAAGACGTGCTGCTGCTTCAGCATGGAGGTGGAGAAAATAATTATCCTTCCTTCCTAGGCTTTTCAAAGTGATGTGAATAATTTACTACTTAGCCACGGGAAGAGGAAATATTTTTGACCACAGTTATATGCCTTCACACCTTCAAATGTACTAAGGGAGAACTTCATTGTAGACTGATACACTGCCTGGAATGTTTTATTGCATTTTTGCAAGTGTAAGGCCTCTACAAGGGAAAATAAACTAATATGTTCAACAACATATTTCCCTTTGTGAAGACTAATTTGTGGCAGAAAAGAAATAGAAGGGGAATATGTTAAGGTGATTCACAGTTCAACTAGACAAAGCATCTATGTTTTTATTGTTAGGGCAAAAAGCATCTTTTTGCTGACAGTGGAAACTGCAATGCT